AATATGTTGAAAGATGTGTAGCAAAACAACAAACAAACTAAATACCAAATATATCTTTGATTTCCGGTAAAGGAGCTTCTAAAGGATTGCAAAATATATGATAAACGTATAGAAATTTTATGACGATGAACTGCTATATTTAAAAATAAATAAAACTTTTATACTTGGCAAACCCCATTACCTTATTTTTCGTTAAAAGACAACATAGAAAATAGGGTGCAGTTTTGATGACGTTACATTGTATTGTTAGTTCTAATATCAGCTATACAATGACTTGACTTTCAAAAAAATCTTTTGTTTGAAAATCAATTCAATAATATATTACGCTGCTCTAACTCAACTTCTTTACACTTGGACTCTTGTTTACTTCTATTCTTTTTTAAACTCACTTTCTCTTGATCCGTCAAAGCGGTTTATGATGATCCTGAACTTATCTTTACGGGCCTTGTTATGTGGCCTCTATATGGCAGTTAGCAGGAGGAGAATAAATAATAAAATTAAACATTTGTACAATTGTATTTACCAAAGTTTCATTTTGATTATTGCTTGATTTTATTAAACAACATTTTGTATGACTTTTTTTAAAAAGTTTAGGAAGTGACTATCAGAACATTGCGCGATAAGGTTTGACTTAATAGATTATTTGTTTGTTTTTTTTTAATTTTTAACTAAATGAAACAATCCTTTGAGATTAAATTTTAAATTTAAACAATTTTAAGACCTATGTTGAAACTATGGCATAGCAGGACCAGCTGACGCAGAAAGATCCAATTCAAAAAGGGGTCTAATGTCTGGCAATAATGCAAAAAATATTTTATTTGTTTTAGACAAATGGAAATTTTCTGTTCAATGTTTAGATTGTTTAAAAATAAATATAATATCTTGTAACAATTAAAACTTTACAATTTAATTCTAATAATTTATTTTATGATTTAAAATTGATTGTCTATAAAGTTTTAATGTTTTAAAAATTTTACAGGGGAGGGTATTATTTCAAGTTAAGCATAAGTTAAGCAGTGGCACAGTGGTTAGCATGAAAATGGTTCAGAAAGATGAGATTCATAGTTCTATGCCGTTGATTCGTTGATGCCGTTGAAAGATGAGGTTCATAGTTCTAAGCCGTTATGAGGTTATTAGTTCTATGCACATACAATAGGCGAATGACAATAATGTCACATAGATAAATCACATAAAATTATTTGAAAACAAAATTTCTAAAAATATTGCAATACTTTAAATGGTAAAACCTTACCTTAATCGAACTTTCTTAAAATATATCTACTTATCTTTTATTTAATACGATGTCAATTGTATTTAAAACCCTATTTAAAAAAATACAACATCTATAGATATAGAAATGCAAACAATAATTATATTTAAGGTAAAACTCATTTTGAAGTCACTAAGTTTTTTATCACAGCTTGAGGCCCCCAGTTACGAAGCATAGTAATCAGAAACGACATCAAAATAATTGCAAACATAAACAGTTTTAAATTAAAACTAAACGAAACAAATTTAGCTAATCAAGAAATGAAGGACTTCTTCTAAAGCTATATTTAATTATTGGTCTTTGATAACATTTTTAATGTCAAGTTTTTAATGGCTATACTATTTACGGAGTATAAGGGGTATGTCGCAAGTAATGCGACATGGAAATGGTGGGAGGCGTAAACTTTCTTGTTAAATACTCTTCCGGGTAGCTTAATAATATGACCAATATGCCCCTTAATAACTAATATAAAAGATTTAAAAGAGTTATGCTACTGCATGAAACTTTGAGCCCCTTGATAACTAATATAAAAAAGTTAAAAGAGTTATGCTACTGCATGAAACTTGAAATCAAAAACAAAGCGATGATGTTTATAATGTTGACGCTATTCAAAGGCGTCATTGTAAACTTAAATAGCGGGTGTTACATATATTATTTTGAAACTTTTACTTCGTTTAATAGTCATTATGTATTATTTTTTGATCTGGGATAAATCTTCTTTTTTTCTTCAACCATAATTTTAAATATACAGCATTAAAACATTTTTTTAAAGTACAACAGTGTCTTTTGAATTTAGAGTTTTTTTTTAACAATTGTTTGGAAACTTCAAAAATAAATTGAGCTAATAATCGGTTGTTTTTTTTGTTTTTTTTTGAAATGTAAGGTTTCTTAACCGTCCTTAAATTTGTTTATTACTAACAATGATGTCAAAAAATTATATGCAGATATGAATATTGAGCTAAATAAAGTAAATAGTTGGTTTAGGGCTAACAAACTTTCAGCTAATGTTGAG